ACAGTCAGTTAGTCGGTTACTATTCTTGTCTTTTTTTAGTGAACTGTGTGATCTATCGGTCCTGATCTTGGTGTTGTACTCGAGGAATCTGTGAAGTAAACACCAGGATAGAAATTCTGGCCGTACGGAGCAGACAATGCTTACAAGATGTTCAATTAACGTGAGGACATCGGGTCAGCCAGATCTGGAATGAACGAATGCACTCAACTTTAGAGTACGTGCAACCGGCTTGGTCATTCTGCACCTCGATTACAGTCGTCTGTTCCATTCTGCAGTCAATTCCGATTTTTTTTTTCAAATTTCTCAAGCACTGACATGAGTATCAACAAAGGATCAGATAAGACAGTCACGCCAGTCTATTGAATGACACGAACTTCCGCGACGGTGATGTGATTCTGATATGGCTGGTGTTTACTGATGACGCCTTTTCGGAAGGACAACTTTCAAGAGGACAAAATTTATTTCAACTGATGTGCCTTTGAAAGCATTCTGACGCCACGGAAATTTCTAATTCGGCATTAAGGTCTCTTTGCAAGATTGTAACCAACGCCCGTTTGTTTATCAGCTGACTCGAGCTAAGGATCTATTGCTCTGTTGAGTTATTGGGTTGGGTGAGATTACTCCCCGCCACACTGCCATGAAGAAGCATCTTGGTAAGGATTAACTGGTGTTTGACTCAGTCCATGGTCTCTACTCCATCCGCAGTAACCGGTGCATCCTCAAATGGGCAGTCACTTCAGCGGTAAAGATGGATTAGACAGGAGTCACTGCGTTTTCACGAATTTCGGTCTCCATATTGGTTAGTAGTTCCTCACTTCAACGTTGTTTGGGCTGACGGACAAGGGACTGGTCATCATCATCGCAGCGTGACAATCAGTGCTCAGCATCGATCGTGCCTCTATGAAATGCTTGAACGATGATCACATTCGGTCGTGCTTCTGTGACGCGCAAGAACACTCATCAGGTTTTGCTGAATTGGTTGAATGATTGACTGGCCTGGATGCTTGCCGGCTTTCCTGTTGAGATTTTGGTGGAGCAGTGGGTTCCGGGTGTTCTGAGGTTACTTTCAGGAATCTGACCATCCTGATATGGTGAGAGCTTCAAGGTAGTTAGTTCTTGATGGGAGAATTCTACATCTAGAAACCAAACGTGTGCTCATCGAATCCTTGGTATAACCTCATTGGGTGGTGCTTACTTCACCTTTAAGTGTGAGTCCGCCCAAGAAGGCCTCTCGGATTGCAATCATTCCAAACTGCCTGGCGGTAGCCTAATTTGCAGAGCTGGCGACCCGATGCTAGTCATAGTTACGGAAGCTGTAGGTTATGGAGAGAGAAATTTGGCTCATATGGCTTTTGAGCATTATCAGCTACTTCAGCTACATCGAAAAATTGGTCTCCATCATGTGACCGAGTGAGGCAGCTGACGTCTCCTGAGACCTGTGTGTGACTCCGAACTCGGATTACGGAGTCTGTTCGATAGATCATCTTTAATCGCTCTTTTCCCGAAGAATGATGCATAGTTCACTAGCGGTTGCAGGAAACAATTTTTATTAACGAAGAATCATAACTTGCGAACAGTCATAGACAACTATTTGACATTGTCACAGGATATCACAGGCTTGGTTGTACACCCATCATACATAGGTCTTCAACAGCTGTATTCACCATGCAGCCTACCAAACGGACTGCGCTAACGGGTCACGCTGTTGCGTAGTTGGGCCTTCCTGTCAACGGTTACATCACATCCAGGCACCAGAAATTAAATGCACGCGAACCCGGTGTTAGCCGTAAAATCCCCAGTGTTCCGTCATCTCAGAATCCTTTTTCAGCGCGGCTGAAACCAGGATCCATTTGGTAACGTTTTCAGGGTGTGACACACTACTCACAAGGCTGATGAAAACTCTTCGACAGCCCACTACCGGTTTTGCCCTTCTTGGGGCTCATCAGGTAGGCGCAGTCCCCGAGTTTCCGTCAACTCTATGTTCTACCTGAACCCAAATTGGACTGTTTTCGAGAACTGCACTCATTTGCAAATCAATTTGGTTTTCACGAGATACTCAGCTGAATCCTCCTTTATGATATTCTACAACTGAATATGCTGCACACAGGCCGCCTCATGATTTAGTCGGCACGATATTCGAGATATCGCAGTATATTTTCATAAAGGAAAAACCAAATTGATTTACAGATGAGTGTATTTCTCGAAAATGACTCCAGTTTCGAATGTTGCTTTCCTTGGTTCTTCCCTGTTGCGATTTCATTCTGTGATACAGTATCCACTCAATTCCGTCGGCTATGAAGCTATTGTCTACAAAATATCTTCAAATACACAGTTTTTAACAGCCACTTTCTTGATTTCTCACACGCCCATAGGTCATCACGATGGTTTTCACACGATCTCCATAGCCCTAACGACTGGTGCGGCAAGCTGCCAACATGCATTTGAATAGGTCCGAACTGAAGTCTGGCGGTAGTGAAAGGAAGAAGGCCTTCGCTACGGAGCTACTTATTAGAAAATGCCAACTGACCGGTTACAGACTACCGGACAGGGAAGCAAAATTCTCATTTGCATCTTATTTACAAAAACTGGACATCCATCTTCTCCTGAAGGCGTCTTCTTGAATTTTCCTGGATATTCATTGACTCCAATCATTCATCGCTCAAATCCAAGCAAATGTTACAAAGCAACTCCACAAATCCCGCAACCGATCTCCCCTTTTCAAGAGACGCAAAGCGAAATTCCAAGAACAATACATGCTACTCGTGTGCCTCCGCATCAGTAGTATTAACGTTACAGCAGTACCTGAATTTTACAGTAGTACATTACCACTGTTGAATGACATGGCATATTCTCACTGATCATCAGAGTATATACGAACTTGAAATCAGTTACATGCAACTAGGGAAATAGTCTGTCCGTTCAACGGTCTGACATGAATGTCAACCCCGGCAATAGATAATACCCTCCAGAGACATCATGGCCCGGATTGAGGAAAATGCGGTCAGAACACCGACAATGAGGCAGTTCGACTTTGCATTAGATTGAGGTTCGCAGGGTGCCTTTCATCAGCGCACAACTTGATATGTACGAATGTGAGTCAACTTCTAGTGAGACAATCGGCGAAACGGAGACACAAATCAGTACGTCACGACAAGGACGCATTCCACGAGACGTTTCTTATCAGAAAACAGAGGCTTTCGCGACATGCAGCCCAGTGAACGGAAAGAGTCAACCGCTTTTCGCCATTGTTGTCGTCGGATTTTCCCGATTCCTTTTCAGTTGAATGTTCCGCCACTGTATTTGTCTCGTCCAGTGAAAGGTGGTTTCAAAACGACCATCTTGATTCACATGACACACTTGCATCATTCTTGCTTTCTAGTTGGGTTTTCTGGGACTTCATGCGGCTGTAGCACCCTTTCGGTGCCTAGCTGCCACGCCACCCGAAGGTTGTACGAGGGCTGGGATACTGCCAGGTTGTCCAAACCTAGATACGGGAAGTCGAGAGGCAGAGGTCGGATTCGAACCACGGATCATCGCGCTCTAACCACTGAACCGTCCGGTCCCACTCTGGGAGTTGCAAAAGCAGTTCCATCAAAGTGTTTTTTTTTCCTCAAGCAAAATTTGTAATACCACAGGAACTACTGTAACGCATAAAGGCTATGCACTCGGGAGCGAACCTCACAGAAGCGTGTGGGTTTAACGGCGCCGTGAGTTCGTATACGCTTCGTTGACCTCCTCCAAAAATAAATAAATCAAAGTTTGGTCTTGCATACCAAGAATCTTCTTTGACTTTACGTACTAATGACTTGGGTTCGAGTTTCATCATTCCTTGAGCAAATTGTCAGTGACAAGCAACTGTTTTGAATGAACGTTACACGATACTCATTAGGTCGCTACGGTGGCCACCCTTGCAAGTAGTGTTTAGGGAAGCACGATATATTGGATATCGTACCAAATGAAACATGGGGCGGTTTGGTGTGGTACATTTAGGTGGAGTGGACCATCATAAACTATTGGCTCAGCTGGATTCAACAGGGTCTCCTTCAAAACCAAATGTGTTTGTAACTGAGAGTAGTTAGGTACATTCTCACTCGGGGCAAAATTCTCAAATTTCTTGGATGTGCGCCCTCACAATAGGCGGAAAGCGCTTTCAACGCTCAACTGTTTGTCCAATGAATGCGCAGGTTCGTTATACAGGAAAGCAGTCTTCACTGGCAGCTATTTCGGCGGAACTCTCGCCCTAGGTTTCCTTTACAGCTGGCACTTTCATACAAGTTAGTTGGGAAATATTTTTGAACATACCAAAGCCTCCCCGTCTTTCTGTTTCAACTAGACTTGTGTGGGACGGTACGAAAAGGTTGACTGACTTTGTTCCTACTTCTGTTTTATCTAGAAGAGCGCTAAAAACTGAAAGGATGAGTGCGGTCAATGGTCTCCAGGTGGATCACACTGTTCACAAGGTAGCTCTGAAAATTCTTCGACAGTCCACCACTGGTTTCGCTCTTACTGGGACTCACCAGGTGGGTATGTTCATGGAGTTTCCATCAGTTTTATGTTCCCCTTGGACTCAAATTGAGTACCATAGGTGAACTACACTCATTAGCACACTAATTTGGTTTTATCAGCCGTGAATCAAGCCGAATCTGTCATTTATGGTGCTCTTCAACTGAATTCAACTTATAACGTTGTCTCGTGAGTAGAACTCCTTCAACCGATAGTGGAACAAAAATCGCTACAACGGATGGATGCCTACTGCAACGAAAGCACCAGATGAATCCGGAAACAATAAACGCTTACCAGTCAAGGTTCATGGTAGCTTGTATGGTCTCTAGTTAAAAAGTACTTCCAGTTGACTTGTAACAACTTATGCCCAACTATTAGCAGTTCTCAATTCAATATTTTCAGAAGCTGGTTGATGATGATTCAGTTGACTTGAATTTTTCCGCCGAATTGATTCTGTTTATACTATCGCAAATTAACAGGTATTAAGGTGAGATGACTCAATGAGTGGAGCGCGAATCTCTGTACCGGAGGTCCGTGGGTTCGAACCCGCTCTCTGCCTTTCGACTTCCCCTGTCTAGGCTTGGGCAACCTGGCAGTACCTCAGCCCTCGTGCAACCTTCGGGTGGCGTGGCAGCTAGACATCGGTAAGTGTGATATAGCTACATGAATTCCCAGAAAACCTAGCTGGAAAGCAAGAATGATGCAAGTGTGTCAAGTGAATCAAGATGGTCGTTTTAAAACCACAGTCGACTTTTCACTGAACAAGACAGATACAGTGCGAGTTGTGGTAAAACGTCGTTTCATGCCGTGGATCACTCAGTCACAGGTGGCGGAACATTCATCTCAAAACGAATCGGGGAAATTTGATGATAACAACAAGGAAAAGCGGTTGGTTCATTCCATTCAATTGATTGCAGGTCACGAAGGCCGGTTTTCTGATAAGAAACGTTCCATGGAAGGCTGAGGCTTCCTTGTCTTGACTCACGTTCATAGAGCGAGGAAGAACGCTGATTTTTATCTTATTTTCTTCGATTATCTGTTGCTAGTTGCTAGCTCATATTCATGCATATCTGTCTCCCATGCATTACGGGGCGCAAGTTTGACGACCCTTTTTTCACCCAATATGCATCAAATTTTTCAAAATTTTCGTTTCATTTAGGCGGAACCTTTGTTCGATGTTGTACCTGGATGAGCTTGCAGGATAGTTTCAAAGTTCCATAAGCGGCCAGGCCACTGAAATTAGCGAACGAAAAACGTTTCCAGTTATTCTATGGAAAAATCGATCGACCAGAAAAGTTTTCACTCAGCTAATGAGTAGTTAGAAGTACTAAGCGCGCACAAGATGGTTTGTTTTTGATGACGCTTGTCCTTGGTAGTTCTCACATTTACGCTTCTATATCCTTTTAATGAGCTAGGTCATGGTATGATGTTCCTGCGTATGGAGCAAACCGATAGAGTGTTCGGCAACGGGTGCGTGGAAAGAGTATACCCGCAGAGTATATCCCCAACGTGTCCTTCACGTGATTAATCCAGAAACCCGATTTTCTTTCGACAGACCAATCATCATTTATTGAGTTCCGTCCACGTTGGGTTCAGGTAGAACATAAAGTTTACCTGCCGAGTTTCAAGAACAGCGAAACCGATCGTGGGTTTTGAAGAATTTTTCAGCAACCTTATGAGTAGTGTGTTATGTACAGTTTATTGCACTGATGTACAGTTTGCCGTTGACGCCCCTTGTCGTCTTTTTTGAAGTCCGTTTACGTTTATCGATTTATCGGGAAACTTGGAAGTCATACATCCGAGGTCATCTGTAAGTTATGCGTTCTAGCTATGGTCTGACTTTAACTAAGTTGTTTGGGGTGGTTCAACCCATTCTAGTCGGAAGTTGGAAGGCCAATTTATGGTCAAATGAATCTGGTACAACCCCAAGTCCAAAGTTTGTAAACAGAAATGCATATGAAATTACTACACGCTCGTGACTTCCGACTTTATTCTCTGTTTTTTTATGGATGCTGTTTAATGAACGCTCCTCGCTGCTCTAATTTTCAATTTGTACGAGGCACAGCAGAAATTATGCACGGGTGACCCAGAAGCATGTATAATAATGGAGGCTGCAGCTGAGTTTATAGAGCCCTCACTTGAAGTCTAAAAGCGTGTTCAGACTTCTTAGTAGTGCTCACTCTCCTACATCACGAGGATAGCCATCAGGATCCCCAAACTCGATGGAGACTACTGTCGCCGATGTGTGGTGCAGAGGAGGCAAACAAAAGTCGCTCAACATCGATTAATACAGAGCGGACAGCCATGGATTTCAGACCGCAAAACAAAGATTATTTGACCTTAAAAAAGTTGATAATGAGTTTGTTCAACACCGAGGAAGATTCATGAGAACACAAGGTTGACGAAAACTCGGGGATTGCGCCTACCTGATGAGCCTCAAGAAGAGCGAAACCGGTCGTGGGCTGTCAAGGAGTTTTCAGCAACCTTATGAGAGTGCATTACAAAAAACCGACTCATATTTGAAGTGGGCGTGCGAATAGGAAGTTAGGTTTATTCTTTCAAGATTGTAAAAATCGCTTAAAAAATCCGTGGTTCTCCACTGGTGATGATTGCGGACACATGCCTCGCATTTTTCAGCATTTGCAGGGTGAAATCACAAACGAAGTTCAAACCAACCAGAGAAATAGATAGTTTCAGATTCGCTCACGTAATCTTCAGGTCATTACAAAAAATAACAAACAGTGGCTGTCAAATTGTGATTGACATATATTCAGTGAAATCGATGTTATTCTAAACTATCAGTGTATACCAAAACTCCTGACGTAACAGCACATGCGCCTTTAAATAACGGGCATTCAAAAACAAGTTCTTTCTAGATTGTACAAATGTTCTTTAACAGGATGACAGGTAGTAGCGTCGGATGTGCTCGGAAGACTCTACCTCCTACGTTCAACAAACCGAGGGGCATCACAGTTTACCTCTCGGCGTAGAATTCCAGGTGTGTGCCTTGGAGCGGATAATTTAAATTTTAGAATTTAGAAAAAGGCCTCCGACTTTTTGTTCTGACAGTCCTCATTTTTATTCGCCTTTTTTCCACGCTATTTTAGGAGGCGAATGTCGGGCGCACAGAAAATGTTGGTGCAGGCGGTGTGGTTTTCCAAGCAAAACGTATCGATCAGAACAGTAGTCGGAGGAGCTAAGAAACTGGTTTGGTGAAGGAACTGTCCTTACAGTGACCTTGGCATAAGGTAGCACATTACCAAGTGAAAACATATTCCTCAGGAAAGGTAGCTACCAACACAAAAGTTTCCTCGGAGACCTGTTTTCCCTTAATTTGCGCTTCTGACTGGGGCAACACATGTGTTATCATTCGCACCGATGAACCGAACATGTGCTTTTGTTGTTTCGAACCAAGTGATCAGACGCAGTTTGGGGACAGATGAAAAATGTAAGATAACATTTCACCTACGGCACTCTTTCGGTGTCTAGCTGCTCGAAGAAAGCACGAGGAATGAGTTACTAACAGGTTGCCCAAGCCCAGACAGGAGGGATCAAGTTGGAGGTTTGGGGTTCGAACCCCGTTTGACCGATTCACTTCTTAACCTCTCAACTGTCTGAAACGCGTTTGTTGGGAGTTGCTCTATAAGATTCACTACATCGGATATCGATATTTTGTATAAATTGAGCCGTTTTTTACTATTTAAACTCTCTTCTTTTTTCTCCTCGTAGTAGAGACCACCAGTGACTGGACCGTTTGAATTTATTCCGTATTGTCGGTGAAACCAAAAAGACAGCTGACCACTGTTTGTAGTACTGTGGCATTGTTCTTCTGTGCAAGTTATCGGTCAGTCAGGGGCCTGTTGTTCCAGTCACGTTACTCGAACTCCACTACCCCCAACTTTTGAGGTTCATCCCAAAACCTGACTTGGTCAACGAACAAAACTGTGCTTTGATTCTATTCGGCGATCGATTATGTTATCATCGATCGTCTTGGTTCCTATCACGTTAGATGGTTGCTAGGCTAATACACCAATGCCATTTTTTTAAGAATCATGTTCACAAACATAAAAACTAAATACAGGCGATAGATGTGAAAGGGTGTACAGGAGAATATAAGATAAAACGGGGGAGGGAGCGTTCCATTCAAAGGCACACCATTAATTGATCCGGTCAGACAAGATGGACACCGATGTATGTAAGAATGTTTGGCGTAAAAGTACACGTGTAAAGATCAGCAACCGAAGAAAGGACAAACAATGCTCTTCAAGGTGCAGTAAGCTCTAACACAGTCAAGACTCGTATATCAGACGCGAGCTGACCGTCATCGTGGGTCACGTGTGAAAGTCAGTGGCGAGAATAATCGCCATGTGCCACACATTAAAAGTGTCGTAAGTACTTACAGAGCCCAAACAAACACAAGTTATTGACCGTGAACTTAGGAAATCCCAGTCCAATAACAACAACGTTGGTGGATAGAGGAAAGCGGATCCTTTGGTAAGAAGAGATCATCGGTTGGGGGACGGAAAATTTGACGCAACAATAGATTGCGCGTGCGGCTGGAATTTCTGCTTCCTCTCGCTTCACACAGTCACTCTCGTTCAGCTGTAGCACCCAGTCGGTGTCTAGCTGCCATGTCACCCGAAGGAAGCACTAGGGCTGGGATACTGCCAGGTTACCCAAGCCTAGATAGGGTAAGTGGAGAAGCAGAGGTCGGGTTCGAACCACGAACCTTCAGGTCAGTAAATTCGTGCTCTAACCACTTGTGCCACTTCGCCCAACACACAGTCACTCTACGCCCATCTGAGACTATCTTTGCTTCTACCACAGTTGCTCGGCGCTCCCGATAAAACACTTTGAAGTAAACGATATCAAATCCTCGAAAACAGTGAATCCCAGATGACGGGGACGTTTCGCGCGATAAAAACTCCTGTGTGGTGCCCTTCGGTAGACGTAGCTAACCGAAAATAGATTGTCTGATGTAACTATCCAACCTTTCGAGCGTCTTTCAGTGCACTTTGTCTAGCACGAGCGAATATGTCAGTCTCATCCATTGTTATCGTGAACAACATTGAGTGTGGATCTCCTTGCCTCGCACCTCTGTGTCAGTGAACCTCTTAATTGTTGAAACCTGCCACAGAATTCTCACGATGCTATGTGGTGTATCGATCTAGAGTTGACGGTGCTCCAAACGCCTCGGCAGATTCGACGATTTTGTCAATCGAAACCAAATCAAACGCTCTCGGGATATCAACAACCGCCAAGCTGAGGTTAGAAGCAGTCGCTGAAGAGTAATGAAGCAAGGTTTGTAACAGCGATGTGGCTTCCAAGCAACCTTATTGATGTAGAAATGCAAACCGCAGTGAGGGCAGTTGCAGTTTGAGTCTCCAGATGTCAGTAAGCATCCTGTGAAACCATCGGGCAAGAATGGATGACACGAAAATCGGTTTCAGTTGGTCCCATGATGTCGGTTTGGGGCCTTCGGAACTACAGTAATACGAGCACGACATCCAGATAATTAGATTGACATTGAACCAACGAGTCATTCCGGGCGTGATATTTTCCATACCTGCGGACGAGCTGCCCATTAAATGGATCGTACAGCCGATTTCCTTACCAGTAATCGACTCGATCAACTGCAGTCGGATTCTCGCACCACACGACTTTTCCGTCTATCCACGTGTTTTGGAACAGGTGTTCGGGATCCAGAGGTAGGCCAGCGTCTCCTTTGTATACACCCTTCCACGATCCATCAAGCACAGCAGATGCTGCATCTTTACGTATTTGGTGGGATAGGGTCTAAAAGGCAGCGTAGTTGGCTCGGCCGATCTACTCGCGGTTGGCCGGCATATGATGGGCTAGCTGATGAGGGCATCAGGAGACAGGATTCCACTTGTGTGGAAATGTCTTGGAGGCGTGGAGGTCCAGAAGCGACAGGACTTGCTTCGGTGTCACGATGCCAGACTGCAATCCTCGGACAACTGCCAAAAGCTTAATACTAGCAAGCGAACTGTCAGCATGGGATTCCAATAGTGACGTGACGGAATCCACGGTTTGTTCCGACGAATAGGCCGCCGGTGACCGGGTCAAGGCCACCAGATGATATTCCGTCCAGTTGTGCTTGCCAGTAAGGTGCAGGTAGCCTGGGTTCGATGCTGATAACCGATTGGTCAAGATAACATTGATCCAGTCTCACGAAAGGCACGGTTTGCTTCTGACAGGACTGATATAGATTGTTAGCCGGGCAGCGAAATTCTTCAATCTGCCTAGCTTATCTGCTGGGTGGGGTATAGATGCCGGTTGTGTTGATTCGGATCAGTCTTCGTTGAAAAAAGCGGGAACACTCAGCGAAGGTCAGTTGGGTGACCACGTTTGTGCCACTACTTTAATGGACGTGAACTCGACGGTCCCGGGCCTGTAGTGATGGGCACCACTGGTAGCTGGTGCACTTTTGCACGCTACCTTGGCCGTGAGCTGCTCCCTCGTCACCTGCCCACCAGTTTTTTTCGGGAAGTCTGCTTGGTGCGTGCCATCTCTTTGAACATTCTGGAGGTGGCGGTGCGTCAAACTCCGCTGCAGTAGCTTCGTTAGCGGCGGCCCACTTCGTCTTCTTAGGGCCCCTGCCCGCCGTATCCAGGGCCGCCTTCGGTTGGTTTCTGAGGAGGATCCTGAATGCTGCCAACTTACCCCGGTCAGTCTCCAGTCCAGACGCCTCCGCAACATCCTCGGAACCCTCCAGGAAAGTCCGCATATCCCCATCCTCAAAAGGTTGTGGCCACGGGATCTTCATCCGTATCCCGGTCACGGCAACAATCGAAAGAAAGAAAGCCTCCTACCGCAGAGTTATTTATTAGAAAACACCAACTAAACAGCTACAAACTATCGGACAGGAAAATAAACCTCTCGCATACTCCTTGAACGCGTCTTCCTGAACTTTCCTGAATACTCATTGATAACCACGCAAGTGTAAACGAACGCTGACATGCAGTTTCACAAATTCCGTAATAAACCTCACCTTCCAATCGACGTGAAGTGGAGTTACGAGAAAACAGACTACTCGCACGCCTGATCAGTAGAATGAGCCGTTACATCAGGTTTTATACGTGTCACAATACGATTTTACAACTTAGCCTCCCCCTGGGGGAGAGACCAAGCCAAACCATTTAGATGTTTTCCACAGAATAAGCTGAACCTGTAACACTGTATTGTGAGGTTTCGTAGAGCACAGTGTTCATTTGTCGAGGAATCCTTCTCTCAAGGCTGGGTGATAAAGTTTGTTCGACCTATCATCAGTATGAGTAATGACCACTTGCTTCACTGTCCCTCCCAGCCAAAGTAAACCAACAATGCTGGTGAGCCTGGTACAACTCAGGCTACCCGTGTGTACCGACTAGGGTCGCACGTGCTGAAACCGTTGCTGTAACTGAGTAGCTACAAGAGAAAACCACTGTTATCTGACCTTGTGATAGCGTACCTAGCACATATGACCTTTGGGACTTGAGCACACAAATCTTTTCCAAGAGGAATGCAGTATTCCGCAGTGGAGAATCAATATTTGGATTTCTGTATCGATTCTAGCTTATTATAAAAGTTCATTTGTGATAAAGTTGTTGTTGTTGTTGGTGTGTGTGTGCGTGTTTCAGACCAGCACAACTGAAGCGCTTCACCCTAAAGATATTTTCCAAAATAGTTTTAGACACTGTACGAGATCCTATTAAAAACGGAAGCGTATACAAGCAATTTTTCTAGCTAGCAGCAACAATTCACCCAAACTGTTGATTCAGTGCACCAGACACCGTTACAAAACGTGAAATTTAGCGTCATTTGTCTTTTGGGGTGCAACGCTACCTTCGGATGCTGATGGATCGATGGGAATTTTCACCAGATAACTCTACAAACATTCTAAGTGGTATAGTAATATGGTATTGTTAGTTGGGTAGGTCATAGTTGCAACTAACAGGTCATTAGTAAACAGGTATTTGATTGTTCTGCAGGCACCTCAATCCGGGAAAACATCCAGCATCATCGACTACGATGGCTCAGTCATGTGCTACGCATGCCAAAACAGCGTCTACCGAGACGAGTGTTTCTCTCCCGGCCTCCTTCAGGATAGCGCAAACCGCGAGGTGGACAGCACATGACTTCACAGAAAGGTGTGAAAGAGATCACGAAGAGTTTGTGTTGTTGGTGTTGTACGCCTTCCAGGATGGGGTCCTCGTGACCACGTCTATGCTTGGCTGGAGACGTTGCAAGAAATGGCGGCTAATCGATGTCAGTGGCGTTCGTGTTGTCAGTTTCTTTTCTGATTGTCTGATTGAACGCTTGTAGGTGTGGCCACCTCAGTATGCTTGACATAGGCCAGCACTAGGTCCCCTCCTTCACCCACTCTTTTCCTCTTCTTTTCACTGCAGGGCTTTTAATATAATTATATAATCATATGTATATATATATATATATATATAACTAGAAGAATCTCATGGTTGCACGGCAGTGAAGCATCAGTGCTAACACCGATGTTGCCGTCTTTGATGATGATGATGGTGATGATGATGATGATGGAGTAATATAGCATACATCATGCGATAATGTAATGCACGATATATTACATCTATATTACTAATGTACATAGTATACACACAACACAGCTATACTAAGATGTAAAAAAACGTGCCAAGCTGATGTCATAGTAAGGTGGAACATTTGATTTTCCAGCTGTTTCGAATCACGTGGCAGACTTTCTTACAGAATACGGACAACCTGAGTATCTACACAGCGGTCAGATGGCATACAGAAAAGGTTGTTCCAGGAAACGTTTGTGACGCATGCCATGTTTGTCTCGGCTGTGTGCAATGAATTTTAACAGTGTATACTAACCCTGAAAGAGTAGAAAGTAAAAAATTGGAGTGCGCATGATGAACACAAAGGAATAGGCCGAGGTAATCAGAAATGATAAAACAAGCTGGCGACCTTCCAAGACGACCTTTCTGAGCGTTACAAAACCATTTGGACACGTCAGAAATGGCGGAGGTCCGGGTGTCTTTGATCGTTCACAGCCCTCAATTTTCCCCAGACTAACCAAATCCCCGTCTACTCGGTAAAAAGTCGAACAATTCAAACCGATTTGTTCAGTCAGCAGGTTTCAAGCTTCCGCGGAGCTATCTGACTGGAAAGTCCTGATAGTGGGGTCACCTGGACAGTTGCTAGCTAGTAGCCGTTCAAGGATTCGAATAAAGCGGTCAAATCACTGGACCGTAGGCTGGTGGAGTAGTGGTACAACAATCGCCTCGCATGTCAGATTCAAACCCCAGCCAACGATATGCACTGCTGATGAACTCGAATAGGAACGGAACTGCAGTACTGTGCTTCTCTGCCCTTGGTGTAAACTCATCAACACAACTGCGTCAGGACAGGAGTACAATTTTTCCAAGTTGGGTGATGCAAAAGTGATTTCTGGTATGTTGAAGACATCATAAAAAGCACAACAATATCAGTGACATTCGAGCAATGTGTTGTGATTGGTTTGGAATCCCTGATATCTATGCGTGACGCCGAGAGAGAAGGAGCTCGGCTGGTCGACCGCCTGTTCGGCAAACGAGGGCTCGGATAACGTATTCGATACCTTTTAAGATCATATTTATGGAAAGTAAACACATCTATGAAGCGCTGGACAAAATTACTTACTGACTAGTGGCCAGTACCCAGACTTCGGTAGATCAAATACTAAGTTTCTGTTTCTTTTGGCGAATGTTTTTTACCGAAACCTGTGTTCCTATTTGTCGATCGATAATGAAGTACTTAGATGAGGTCTGTTGACCCGATAAAAGGAAGCTTGAAAACGTACATGAAATAATACCCCTCCTTCGAGGGAACCATTCATCGATTACATCCCCGAGGAAATTCTCGATGTTTGAACTGGTGGTCTCGTTTGGGGACTAGAGAAACGAAACACTGAATTGCTACGTCTTTTGACGTGAACCCATATGACCAAGTCACTTTGAAAAAACTTCAGAATTAGCGAATATACACTCATTTGCAAACGAATTTGGTTCTTTCGAGAGACTCACCTGGAGC